CCGGCGGCCCGTCCTGGGACCCTCCCACGCGCAGCGCGTCCACCCGCTGACCCGGTCCAAGAGGACCCCCCCCCCGCCTTACGTCGCCCACGGAAGGCGAGCCACGGCCAGGCAGGCGAGGGCTCCCGAGGAAGGCGGGCCCTGGAGATGTTTGGCGGTCTTCGGGCTCCCCGGGCCCTCGATGCAGAGCTGGTCAGGACGAGTTTCCTCCATGGCAGAGCGCGTTTCTGCTCCAGATCGTCATCCCCGCCCCTCCACGCTTCTTGCATCGTTGCCTCTTCGGCCCATGCTGAGCCAATCTCGCGGGCCAAATGTTACACAGCTTGGACTTTCGACGATCTTGCAGACTCAGCTTGCATCCAGAGGATTGGCACCGACTGCACGCCCCCAGAACTCAGCGTCACGAAAAAGATGTTCGACAATATATGCGGTTCTCTCATCCCTATCTGTTTTTAGCGCCTTCCTGCTCCACCAGTCGAAGGGTCTCCCTTTCGCCTTCCTTCTCGGGGGCCGAAACCCAGTCTACTTTGATGAACTCCTGCCTACTTCATGTTTCTACACGCGGCTTGTATTTCACATCTGAAGGCCTGTTTCGGGCCCTGGGTCTTAAAAACGGCCTTGGATGAAAACTTGCTCCTGCGGAAGGGGTCGAGAGCCCTGAGGGACCCACGTCACGAAAGAATCGTGATGTCGAAGGTCTGGGGTGATTACAGTCACGGAAAGCGTAGCGATCGGATGTTTTTTTCTGACGTTTTCGTTGATTTTTGGAGGCCTCGGAGGTTCAGTCAGGTCTGATTGGCAGGCCGACGCTGCAAAACCAGTGGTGCTCTCGTGTCTTGTCAAGCGCGTCTCGTGTCCTCATCTCTTCAGCACGGGTCCGCCGGCAGGGGTTGGCCGGATTTCCGAGTGCCATTTTGTTGATTTTGCGGACCAGGGTTAGTCCAGTAGCCTCAAGGCACGGGAAACCAGCACACTGCAAACCTGCAAACCAGGACTTTGTCAGATCCAGTGGCAGAAAACAGAGACAGAGAGAGAGAGAGCGAGAGAGTGGAGTATGTTTGACCCACGGTTTCTCGGGCGTGCCAATCTCCTGGTCTCTCACGAAGTCCCCGGATGCGGAGCCCTCACACCCATTCTCCCGCGCTCGGGAGGAAACCATGTCAATGCCGCGGGCTGTCCTCGGACAAGTCCGATGTCTTCTGCCCTCGCTGTCTTCGGGATTCTTTCGTGCTCCAGGCTTCCTTCTGGTCTGGGCTGCCCGCGGCAGCCAGCCCCAGGCGAGCGCCGCAGATCAACGGGTTCGACGGCGCCGGCATTCGCGCGTGAGCTCCCCGCGTAAGGTCGCGCGTAAGCGCCCTCGTCGCCAGCGTGGCTTGCCGCGCTGGCGGCCCGCGCAAGCCACCGCGCAGGGTCGCTGTGCCACCTCGCGTGAGACCCGTGTTTGATCGCTGCTCACGTGCTTCGCTTCGCTTCTGGTTCGAACGGCGCGCAGGCTCCCCCTGCACTCCTCCAGCGCCACCCCGACATGCTGATGCAGTGTGCGCGTCGCCCCCTCCCCCCCCCCCAGGGGCGACGCGCGCGCTGAGAAGCTTTCTGGCACCACCGCTCGGGAAACGAGATAAACTGCAGGATGGTTGTACTCTGTGTTGAGTGGTGAGGTTCCCTCAACGGCTGCTGTGTCTCTGCATTCTTGCTGTTGGGGCTTCTTAGTCCTCGCATGCACGGGTGGGCCGGGCCGCCACCCTGCACCGCTCGGGACGGGGGTCCAGAACACCTCGAGGCGTGCTTGGTGGCGTCATCGTTCCATGAGTTGGGAAGCTGGCGGTTTTCATCATCAGTCGTTCTTTCAGGAGACAAGAAGAGATGGTTGTACCAGATGTTCGGGTCGGATGTGCACCTCCGAGGCGAACCCATCGTGCCAGTATGTTCCTGTGCGTCCCACTCCAGCTGCTCGGCCATGCTCGCTCGCGTGGCGCCAGGGTAGGGTGCTGCCCAACCGCCCAGCCTCGCCGCGGTGCTTCCCGCGAGGCCCCAGGGTCGCCCCCCGGCGGCCTCTCTCGGGCCCCCTCCGAGGTGAGGCCTGAGGTTCGGCGATTGGGGTCTGGGTGGAGACCCGCGTCCAGCGCATTGTCTCTAGGCCTCCCAGATGGGGTCGGAGGATCGCGCCGCATCGCCGATGCATCGGCGATGCGGCTCGATGTGGAGCCCGATCTTCATCGCTGATGCGCCGGCGATGCGGCTCGACGTGGAGCCCGATGTTCTCCACGCCGACGTCGGAGGTGCATCGGCGACGTCGCCAGTGCATCGCCGATGCATCGCCGATGCATCAGCGATGCATCGGCGATGCGGCGAGATCCTCCGACCGCATCTACTCGGACCCCATCCGGGAGGCCCCTACAGAAATCTGGCGGTCTTTTCTGAGCTCTCGGGCCCTGGAGTTCTTTGGGCTTCTCGGGGAGCAAAAAGGATGGCACAAGCAGGAATTCATTTTCGGAGGCCCACGCGGGTTCCCTGGGTCGGCGCTGGGCCCCCCTTGGGGGTGGCCCCGGAGGCGGCGCCAGGGGTTTCCAGCGCCGATGCGAGAATCCCGCGCGGACCTCCGAAAGGTAATGTTTATGCCGTTCGTTGTTCCCCGAGCTTCGGCCCCACTGCGGGGCGCTCTCCGTGATACACTGGCGCCTCTGGCGCCGGGAGGCGCTGGTCAGGCAGTGGCGAAGCGTCCTGGCATGCCTAGAGGCCCACCAAACCATGTTCTAAGAACCCTCTTGTGGTTTCCACGAAATGCTCTTAGCACATTTCTGGCCGATATCGTTTTGTTTCAGCACGTCGAGCTTCTGTTCTAAGAACGTTGTTCTCGCTCTTGGAACATGCGTGGGTTCTGAGAACATGTCCTGGTAGGCCCATGGGAATGCCGGGACGGTCGGCCCCTGCTCAGGCTGGGACAAGCAGCCACACGAGCTGAGTCGCCAAAGCCCTCTTGACTCGCCCCTCGCCGCCGGCCAGCCCGAGACCTGCTCCCCAGGCCCCCGGGGGGCATCTCGAGGTCCCTGCGGGGGCGGGGCCCGGATGTGCAGAGCCCGGCGTGCTCGGAGGCGGGGCTCTCGGGCGAGGCGGTGTGTGGGCGACTTCGTGGACTTGTTTTGTTGTCTGTTTTTTTGTTGCTTGTTTTTTTGTTTGGGTTTGGTTGTTTGGGTTTTTGTTGTTTGGGTTTTTTGTTGTCTGGGTTTTGTTTTTTGTTGTTTTGTTGTTTGGGCAGGGCGAAGACGGGCCGAGGGAGCACGAGAACTGTACGACAGCGCAGCGCACTGTTCAGAGGGTGAGCCTCGTCGAAGACGGGCCGAGGGAGCACGAGAACAGTACGACAGCGCAGCGCACTGTTCAGAGGGCGAGCCTCGTCCTGTTGGCATGGTCGGGACGCGGGAGGCCTGGGTGCCGACCCGAGCCAGGCCGCTGGGACCTCCAAGCCTTGGGAGACCGTCGTGGACGTCAGCAAGGGACATCCTCCACAAAGCGACCGCCAGAGAGCGGCAAAGTCCTGCCGTGCACTCTTTTATGGGCTTGTTTTCCATCACCACCACCAGAAGTTGGATGGGGGAAGGAGGAGGAGGAGGAGGAGGAGGAGGAGGAGGAGGAGGAGGAGGACCCCTCCCCCTCCAACTTTTGGTGGTGATGGTGGAAAACAAGCCCATCACTCTTGTAGTCCCGCCGCCCTGTGTAAAAGTCCCCCTCCCGTCCCGACCCCACCAGCAGCGAGGTGTCCTGCCGGGGGTGCGGGCACCTCCCTGCCTCGCGCCGCCAGCACCTCGCGAGAGTCGAGGCAGTGGGCGGCACGCTGGAGTGCCCAACCGCCGAGGGGGTTTCAAAACCGAGCTTCCGACCAAGGCACTGGCCAGTCCTCACCACGCACGCCGAGCTGAGCCCCGCAAGCCACGCAGACTCGGGAGGCCTCCAGGAAGACACAGGCCCCTCCCTCCACCTTACCCTCGCGGTGCTTTTTCATCGCGCACGTCTCAGTGACCGCCGCGGCCATCAAGAAACGTCCCAAGTCTTCCTCCTCCTCCTCCTCCCTCTCTTCCATGCTAAGCTGGACGGCACGGCGGCCGAGCAGAAGAATCAGCGCGAGTTGCAGGAGGATTCCCAGTTCCTGCCGGGCTGAGTCCGCTGCCCACGAGCGCCGACCGAAGCGATCGTCGGGGACGCTGAAACAAGGTTCAGCGCTAAGGGCGGTCAGCCAATCCCCTCCGATCCCATCTGGCTGACCCTTGTTTGTTGGGTCGACCCCCCCGCCATCCACGCCCTTGGCTGATTCGGGCTCGGGGGCTCATTCGTGGCCGGCCTAGGTTCCAAACATGGCCCTGGCGGGTCCAGGTTTGCGCGTCCCCGAGAGCTTTGAGCCGGTTTTTCTGCGTGTACGTCGGCTGTGCCCATGGGAGATACAGTCGGGGCCCTGAAGAAGGAACTCTTCTCGTTGAGGAGGGGCTCGGTGTTCCTTGATTGTTTTACAGTTTGCCTTGGGTTGTCCTTAGGTTTTCCATGGGGAATCGAAGTTTAACTTATGGGAAAAAGGGGCCTCGTTCCTTATATTGGGCTCCTTGGGTCAAGGCCCCGATTGTAGTAGAATGCAGTGATGCAGGACGAGAATCAGCAGGATCAGTTGTTGCGAGTGCCTGAGCTCACAAGGGAGGGTTCCGATGGGGTCCGTGGTCGCCCCCAGGCCCTCGCATGCGATGCCCACCTAGTTATCGAAGGCGCCTCCGGCGAGTCGCCGCCGCCCCCTGCATCTTCGACAGCGCTTGCCGCGGCCATGCGCTGGGCAAGCGCTTGGCCACGCTGCCAGCTGGCCCGACCCCCGGAAGCAGCTGGGGTGAACACGACGACGACGACGCCGACGCCGACGCCGACGCTGACGCCGACGCCGATGCCGACGCCGATGCCGACGCCGACGCCGACGCCGACGCCGACGCCGATGCCGACGACGCCGACTACTGTCAACCCGCATAGTAAGGATGGGCAACCTTCCCAAGGATACCCTTGCATCCTTGCCTCCTCGGTCCAGCCTTGGCTACTTTCGTTGGCCGCGCCCCGCTCGAAAAGCTTCGAAATGGGCGTTCAAGGCCCTTGCATCCTCATCGCGCAACCTTACTGTGCGGGTTGACTGTGCGCCGACGCCGACGCCGACGCCGACGCCGACGCCGACGCCGACGCCGACGCCGACGCCGACGCCGACGCCGACGCCGACGCCGACGCCGACGCCGACGACGACGCCGACGCCGACGCCGACGCCGACGCCGACGACGACGACGACGCCGACGCCGACGCCGACGACGACGACGACGACGACGACGACGACGACCCCCTGGCCGTTTTTGAGTTTCCCGTCGGGTGGCAGTGCCCGAACGGGCCCCCCGCTGCCCACGGCGACTGCGCGGCAGCTTTCCCCTGTTCATCGCGCTCGCGGCCTTCGGCAGCTGTCGAGGCCATCCCCAGGGCCGCAAAGATTAGCCGCGCTCCGCTCGCCGCGGCCTGGGCCGCGGAGGTGCCCTTCATCTCCAGCCGGGCCGCGCGACAGGGCAGGATAGAGGGGAGGAGAGGGTTACGAAGTTCAGGAGGAAAAGAAACACACAGCCACAATGAATCGTGGATTCCCAAGACAATATGGGAAAATACGGAAAGTGGGGGGGAAGACAAAAACGAAGAAATATGGGAAAATATGGTGAATCCTGTTATTTGTGTGTATTTATTTGTGTGTCCTAGGGCCCCTTCAGACGTCTGCTGCGTGCGGCCGGTGTTCGGCCTCCCTGCCCGGGCCCCCGGCCCCTCCCTGCCCGGGCGCCTCCCGGCGCCAGGAGGCAGCAGGCAAACCATCGGGGGCGGAAAAGAGGGGGGTGATGACTAGGGGGGGGGGGATATCATGGCGTGGGCCATGACATCTCCCCAGATCTCGTGGCGCCTCTTCTGATTTCATTACGTCCCTGGCCCCCCCCCGCTGGGCCGCGCACCTGCCGCCGGTCATGATTTGCACCCCCCCCTCTTGGACCCCCCCCCTCGTGGCCGCTCCCGAAGCCAGCTGCCCGAGCGGACTCTCTGCCCGATATACCCTCTGGTATTCCCCCCCCGGTGCGGCCCGGCCCGAGAGGTGCCCTCCTCCAGGGCGGCAGCGTGAGGCGCGAAGACGGCCTTCAGTCGGGCCCGTCCCTCTGCAGGATGAACATCCCCAAAGAGTAAAGCCTAGTCTGGGTACGATTTTGGGAGCATTAGTTGACCACTTCTGAAAGTTTGTTTTGTTTGGGTGCTCTGATTTGTCGTCCCAAATCCGCCTGTTGGAGGACATGCCCGACCTAATAGAGGATGACGATTAATAAATGACGGGGGGTCGTGTTCACGCGGCGGCGCCCGGGATGACGATTAGAAAGAACCGGCCGCGGGCTGGAAAACTATTTTTTAAATCGTTCTTTTCCAGTCAGAAAGCTCGGCAGAAATAGCGGAAAACTATGTTTTTAATCGTTCTCTCCCATCTTTTTTGTTAATCGTCATCCCGCATTACTCCTCGTCCTCCTTCGACGGAGGCGGGCGCGGGCCGTAGGGGTGCCTGCCTGGTGACGCCTGGCTGCGCTGCTTGGGCTGCCTCTGGGGGCCCCCTGGGGCTCTCCGACAAGGGCGCCCTCGAGGGCGCGCGATATTGCTCGCGCTTCGCGTTTCGCGCTTCGCGGTTCGGCTCCGATTCCTCCCCATCGCCCCCCCCCCCCCCCCCCCTCCCAGGACGCCTTCCGGGACCCCACCCCCGGGACCCCCCCTCTCGTCTCCCCCCCCCCCGGGTCCCCCCCTCCCGTCCCTGGGACCCCCCCACCCCGGCGGGGAAGGGACAAAGGGACAAAGGGAAAGGGCTTCCTTTCGACGTAAATACGACATCGCTCGATCCCCCTTATTTGCTCCATCTCTCCTGCGACGACGACGACGATTCAAAGGAGGCTGGCATACTTCAGTTTGGGTTGGGCTGGCCTCCCGTCGAAGAGCCTCTCGCATACGGCGACTGGGTCGGCGGATTGCGATCTTGTCGCACTCAAGCCCACCCATACCGAATGTCTCTTACATCCAGTCACAAAAGTTCAGGCGCACTCGCACCCAGACCCATTCACAACAAGGCACTATACGCAGTCGCAGGCTCACTCGTACTCACCACATCGTATTCAGACTCACTGAGCGCTCAGACTTGGCTCTATTCAGACGCTCAGAGAAAAAACATTGATCAGCAAGTTGACGTACACATGGCATGTGGGGGTTTCTGTCGCTTGACCAAAGTCTTTTGCTTGTGAAAGAAGCTGGTAGGTGCGGGGTCCTTCGCTCCAAGTGTTCCTCGGCGTTCATCCTGGAGGCCGCGTGCAGTGGAAACCCGTGCCAAGAAACACCTTGCTTCTCTCCAGGGTGCCCTGGGTTTCTTGGGTTTCGATGGTTCTGCTCTGGAAAGCGTATCGTTCAACACCGAAAATCAATGGACGTCCTGGGGACTGAGGGTTGGGTTGCCGTGGAAGGCTTCTTGTGGTCGAACTCATATTGCAATGGTGGCGACAGCTGGGGGAGCAGCGCGGGCTGCAGAAGAGGTGCCCTGCAGGGCCCCTAAAGAGCGGGGCCCTTTTGGGCCCCCCACTGGGTCTGCAGGGCCCGAAAGGGGCATGTTTCTTCCCCCCCATTTATCGCCACCCATCAATTCGCGCCCAACGGGTTTGTGCCGTGACGGCCCTGGCATTGATTTCTGACGCTGCGTGGATCGTTCAGCCTTGAACGATCGGCGACGTCTTGATCGCCAGGGCACCTCTTATCGACCACAAAAGTATTTCGCGCCCAGCCATCGGGGTTCCTATAAGGTCGCCCAGGGTTGTCCGTGATTGCCAGGGCAGCCCCCGGCGTTGCTCAGGGATATGCCCCAGGGGTCGCCTGGTGCCAAGCAGTGCCAGGCAGTGCTGCAGGCAGTGCCAAGCAATGCCATGGGCCAAGCAGTGCCAAGCTATGCCAAGCAGGGATGCCAAGCAACCATGCCAAGCCATGCCAAGCAACGCCAAGCAATGCAGAGCCATGCCATTCAATGCCAAGCATCATCCACGCAGTGTCAAGCACTGCGAAGCAGCGGTTCAAAGTGATGCCAATGTATGCCACTTAATGCTTTGCATTGCACCGCTTCGCATGGCTCAGAACTGCTTTGAATTGCTTTGGGAGAAGGTGCCACGCGGGGTTCATTCTTGTTTTTTGTGTACGATTGCACAATGAGAGCTTTCTTGTGCCTCCCAGAACGTTTTTGTGTTCGTTGGGCTTTCCTTGTGGGTTATGTTGGTCAATCTTTTCTGCGAGTTTTCGAGAGGTCGCTTGGCGGTCCTGGGCCGTCTAAGAGTCCGAGTTCGAAAAGGGTTTTGGAGAGCCAGCACAAGCTTGGGCGGGTTTCCAGGAGCGCATTGAGCGCGGAGGGGGATCGGCCCTGAAAAACTACAGAAGCCCTACCAGAACTCACGAACATGCACTCAGACTCTCCACTATCATGCAGGCTCGGTAGCTGATATTTCGGGTGGCGTGAGGCCTCTCTTGGGGTATCCTTCGGCCCCTTGCGTCCACATCATGCCTCGTGGACTGACCTTGTTAACCTCTGAGGTACTCTTGGCGCCCTCTTGGGCCCCCTTTAGGCCCTCTTGTCAGCATGTCGAGCGCCTGTTGGAACCTCTTGGGATCCCCTTGGGGCCGCTCTAGCCGTCTTGGTGACCTTTTGTAATCCTCGTAGGCCGTCTTGTCCCCTTATTGAAACAAGTGTTTGGGTCGTCTTAGGCCGAGCAACCATCAGACAAGCAGTCGATCTAGGTTTCGGCGGGAGTGGCCAAAGGGCTTGCGGAATGGTTATGGAGAGCCAGATCGAGGGCCATGGTAGAGATGTCGACAAAACTGGCGCGCCCAACCCCCTCGAAATGAATCACGAAGGGTGGCGGGTCTGACGTTCTGAAGACCATCCCCGCTTTCTGCCTGTCCTCCTGTTTTGGGTCTCTTGTGGTCGCAAGGAGTGGTGGTCCTGGCCACTGATTGTACTGCTAGGGACGGGGCCCCGACCGTCTTTGAAGACAACGCATCGAAGCAGAGGGTCTGCTCTGTTCATGCCAAGCATCAATCGCTTCACCCCCC